AATCCTTTTTTCGAGTCAGCGCAACTGGGCACTTTTACTCTTTGATAGCTGGGGGTACTACAGGGTCCCACCCATCTCATTGCCTAATTTATATATTCCCTATAAGCTTCATGATTATTCAGTGGTTGATCTAAGATCTGCGTATCTTTCCGTGCGGAGAGTGATTACTCTAAAATTAGATAATGGTAAGTAGGATAGCTTGTCAATTTTCCAATATAACTTCAGGCCTCTGACCCTTATGTATTTTTTGATCGGGTCTACAATGGAAAGCATATAAAAAATTAATGGAGATAATAAATAACCAAACGTATTTAACTTTTTTAAAAACATAATTACCGGAATTACCGGAAAAACTACCGGAATTTTTTTATGAAGTACGAAATATTTATTTTACTTTGGCTCCAGTTGTTGCAACACTTGTGCCAATGTTTTATTCACTCATTAAAACATTTTTATAAGCACTATAATGGTCCTTATTTGTCTCAACGAGTTTTGTTTTATGGGTTTGATCGATTTTAATATGTTTTCCATAGGTTAATTTAAGTTTCGAAATAGAAAATCAGAATAAGTCTCAAGTATCAGGTTGAGTGTTAAAACCCTCAGGGAAGCCTGAGGTTCCCTTTCCTACGCACGATGTAAATATCTGTAAATAAATAATGAATGAGAATATTATTTAATCTTTTTCAAAAATATGATACGTTAAGTAACATTTTTACATTTACTTGAGATTGTTAACGACATGACTTGCTATTGCATTGTGGTATTCTAAAATATTTATTAACTGTTTGCTATAATTAGCGACGACTTCGTGTTTATTGACCGGAATCAATAATATGGTTTACCAATAACGTTTCCGTCATTCACCATTTTCGTTAATAATCGTTATTCGGTTCGTTTGACTGTATCGGAACACATCAATCTATATTTTAGAGGAACCTAACTCATATTATTAAGCTGGAACAAATACATTTTTGTTTCAAAGCCTTGGTTACAAATATATATTTTAAAAATACTTAAAATATCTTAAATATCTGTGCAGATATTTTATATACTTATAACCAATAAAAAACATTTTATTATTTATAAAAACATATTCTATATACTTTGAGCAATGCACTATAATCAAAGTTTTAGACCAGTTTCGGAAAGATCATGTAATTATATCTAGTGTATCGAGATGTTAGAACTAGAGCTGAATAAAGATATTGCAGACAACATCTTTTTCGGTAAGGGCTTAACAATGTATTATTTCTATTGTTTCTTGTAATTTGTAAATTTCTGATCTCTATCAAAATGTTTTGTATATTTTAAATAAAAAACAAAATTTTGTGGTTCCAATTAATAGTCAAATTAACATATGGCATATAGTATCTTTGGTGTCGAAACTTTGCGTGCTTTATTAATTTAGTAAAATTATATGACCCCCCCCTACTACATGACACAACACAGAAGAAAAATCCAGTCTCTATCTGTTCACAATTTGCTACACTTCAATAAAAAATATTCATTTTTGACATTTTCCGGAAATTAAATTTTGAAACGTGAAACTATGATTTATATTCAGAAGCCAAAAAAATTTGTCAAAAGCATTTTTTCTCTTAGTATCCGAAATAGGTGGTGTCTTCAGAATATATCGCAGTTTTGTTCAATAGTAATTCTTGATGGGTAGACTACGTGTAGATATGAAAAAATACGATATTTTGAAATATAAATGTTGTAAAGTGAAAAGTCTGAATATGACAAATAGACGAGTCAAATCAAAAAATAAAAAGAAATATGATTCATTTGTCACCTTTCGAATTAATAAATAAAACCATAGCATAGGTATCTTTGACTAAATAGAAAATATAAAATATAAGACTTCAGTATTTAATTCTATTTAAAGTGCAAACGTTTATATAAATAAAATTAATAGATTTTATTTTCCGTTCTATTCTATTCCATTTTAAATGCAGTATTTCGTATTAAGAATATTACAATGGATTAAGAGTACTGAGATACTAAAGTATTTCAAAGTGAAAACCGTACTAAACGGAAACCAAAAATCAATCAATAATTAAACTAATTTTAATTGAAACTACTGAATTCAATTCCCAACTTAAATTCCAACCCACAATGAAATCATTAGGTTTGATTCACTTTTAACTTTTAATTACACAAAATCACACGATTGTTTAGTACTCGTAACCGCTGAAGCATATAAAGTGTATTTTTCATTTCAAAAAAGATAAAAATAAAATATAGTATATATCAATTAAAAATAATTTGTCTGAATTATACAACACATTGTTAAATATTTGACTGTTTTGTTTTTTTTTAGTTTCAGATACTGGCAAACGTAAAAAACTAAAATCACGTAATATAACCGTACCTAGTACGGGTTACTCCAAGGACCATTTGGATGCTTGGCTAGAAACGTGTCTAAAAGACGCTTCAAATACACAATTATCTTCATCGTCCGAGTTCTTAGACTATAATCCCACAACAGCAACCGTCACTAATATAGCAGCTAGCAAAAATCCTTCCATGAGTCAACAACAGCAACAGCAACAACAACATCAGCAACAACAACAACAACAAAATATTACACAAATGCATACAGGAGCTGCGAATATGAATAATTTCAATATAAATTCAATGCATTCCCAACAACAGTTCGCTATGCGAAACAGTAGCTCACAACCGTCCATGGCGTATCCTTCAGCATTTACTTCACCTTTTAGTCATAGCTTCCAACGTGTAAGTTTCATTAAGAATATATATATATAATAATTACTAATTTAATTTCTTTTAATTTGTTATTTTCTAGAATGTGCCAAATTTCAATAAACAATCCAATTCGTTTTATAATCGCTATTCAATGATGTTTCCGAATAGCAGTGGTTTTTATCCCATCAATGATGGTGCACAGGACTTCGCCAGTTTACCGCCAATTGTAAATATGCTTGGTAATTCATCGGAACATGAAAATAATTCCACAGATGTTTTGGATGGCAGTGGCAGTAATCCAAATATAAGTCGAGGGTAAGTTTATTCATTTATTTTTCAACAATAATAGTTTTTCCAGGAAATTATTTATATTACTATTTATATAAATCACTAGTAGACATTTTAATTAATTATTTTTAATTGTATATAATTATTTCACTTAAAAAGGTCGTTACTTTTTATACGACATGTAATTATGCTATTATGCTATTATAAAAACAACAACAAAAAACTTGTAAAACTGCACTTGCAGAAATAATGCACTTTAGGCACAAAAAAGTGATAGTGAAAGTTTAAATATTTTTTTTAACAATTTTATAAAATGTGATAAAATTGGAAAGGTGCAACAAATCTAGTAAATTTTTCTTAAAATATATAAAATAAAACTATAATTTATTTTTCTGTTTAATTGTCTAAAAATATTTGATCATTTATATAATGTCATAAATAATGAATAGTAGCATATATAATGAAGTTTAAACTCCCCTCAAAATATTTCGAATCATTTTACACTAGATATGAGTTCTCCGATTCTACCTCAATACTACAGGTAGAAATTTTCGCCATTCTAAGAACATCTTCTCTTACCTTAAACATAGACTTTCGCATAAAGGGAATCTATATTTTTACTGACAGTCAAGCAGCTAATAAAGCTTTATCAGCAGTCTGTATTTCTTCCAGATTAGTGTTAAAATGCAGGCATGATATAACGACGCTAAGTAAGAGGTGTGAGGTAACTCTAGTTTAAGTTCCGGGCATTTAACATAGTAGGAAATGACCGCTTGCTAGGCTGGGCGCTTCTTCTACGGATACCCCTATTTCAATCTCTACAACTGTCAGCTACATACGGATGTTGATTTATGACCATTTTTTTGCAAACAGACAAATAGTGAGTGGGCCTATACTGCCTCAGCAGTCAGGTCAATGGCTATATGGGCAATATTACCCAAATGTAGAACCTCTGCTTTGATACACAGAAGCAAATCAGAGTTATCTAGGTTAATATCTGAATTTACAGGTGACTAAACGATAAGGCGGTATAGAGATAGATTCGGCGACAGCATTGGCCTTTATAAATGTTTCTATCTGTTTCTAGCTTGACCATTCTTCTACCCATCATTAAGATAATTTGTGGATTCAAGACGGTTTTCTTAGCTAATTGGGGAAAATTCGTTCCTCCCTTTACTTCAACTAACCTAACACTAGATATGATGAATTTTTTTTGAATTGAATATTTTCGTATGAATTACTTTTGAAAAAACCTCTCCTTAAATGAGTCTCCGTAGAAGTCCTTGATGGGCCTGTTCACGAACCAGTTATTTTGTTGTAAAATATATTAAAAACAATCACCGTAAATGCCGTTGATGAGACGCTCTGATACGCAGACCTGGCTGTTACCAGAACTTGTTATTGTTTTTTACAATTTAATATTGATTTATTCTTTCAGTAATGGTACTACCATTACCAGTAAAAAACTGATAATTATTACATCTGACTCATCTATTATTGGCAAATATTATGAATTAAAAACTAATCATTAATGTATTGGAGATATCTATTGAATAAATATTGTTTCAGATTTATTTATATATTAATTTTTCATTTTTCTTCAAAAGCAAAGTACATTTTGACAGAATATTTTCGTTTATGGTCCATATGGGAGTTACCATATGTTTTAAAAAGAATCGATTTGTTGTTGTTATCACACAGAGTATTTGCTTTTTGCAGATAATCTACCTGAATTGTTTTCATTTTATTTCGGCAACGAGCCACAGAAGAAATTTTCAATCCATTAAGCTTTTTACAAAGTGTCAAGCTTTTTCATGTAATTAAAAAATATGATCAGATTATCCTCCACGTACGCAGATCTTATATCAATCACTGAATAATCATGAAGCTTATAGGGAATACATAAATTAATCAATGAGATGGGTGGGACCTTGTAGTATCCCCAGTTATCAAAGAGTAAATGTGCCCAGTTGCGTTGACTCGAAAAAACAGGATCAACAACAGTAGAATCGGTTATGAAATAACTCTGTATATCAATAAAATGTCCTCTTCGAGAACAAAGTTGTACATTAACGAAGAACTCAACATGGCTACTCCTGATATCTTTTTGGAAAAAATATGCCGTCCTCATGCTGTGAAAACTGTTCAACTATGGTTAGTTTATAGCCACGTGTTGAAGAGTTTCTTATCACGTATAGATCGGCAATTCTTAATGTGTACCATAACTGCAGATTTACCCCCATCACGTCTCTCATTTGTTCTTATGCTTTAATACACACTAATTTGAACTCTATTGATATACGACTCGAATCCATTGAAGTTACAACTTTTCTCATCCTCGATTCAGACTAGTTTCAATCAAGATTCACTCATCCTCTCATCCATTCCTTATTCCAAACAATGCTTCTTCTCACTCCACTATATTTTAACCCATGTGTTTGCAATTGTATTTGTTGTTGTTGTAGCCCGTGGAGATATTTGTATATTTGTATTTGTAATTCATTTTATATTTCTTTCCATATTCATCCCCACGGGTTACAATAACAGCAATAAGAACAAGAGGTCAGAGAAAAGCAGCTAGTAAGAAGATATTTGCATAAGAACGATGACTATATCTAATTACAGAATAGGCTAACTCTTCTTTTTTTATAACATGATTTCTATTAGTACTATAGAAAGTATTCGGGTTTATAGTATCCGTTGTAATAGTATTGGGACAATGACTCATCTTACTACGGCTCTAAGTTAACCCATAATAGTATGATAAAATTCAAGATTTCTCTTTACGTTAAATTTGAACTAATTAGATTGTCTTTTTATTTATATTAACTTTAAAATATAAGTTTCTATCAATTTATAAAAAATGTGTATTTTTTTTTTAGTTTCAGGTTCAGTGATCCCTGCTTGTTGAATCCTTCAGATAATGATTCCAAAGTTAGTGGCCAAAATACGCCAAATCGTCGAAATCACAACACAACCGAAATTGAAAATAATAAATTCTTTGCTGCTTTAATGGAACAAATTAATTTGCTTCACGAAACGAATTCCAAAATATGCCGAAATCTACATGAGACAAAAGGTGAGGAGCCAAAGCTGATGGAATTAATTTTTAAACCAAACTCAGATAAACTTCAACAAATATTGAATTCATTATGCATAAAAAATTGTTTATTATTATTAATTTTTTTTTTAATTTCTCAATAAATATTTGCAATAATTATACTTATGCACGCGTTATCTCTTCGCACTTCAACTTAATGCTTTTATAGTAGATCATAAATTTTATATCCTATCTTATTTAGTTTTACCATTTATATTTTTTTTTAATAATTATGCATTTTTATTCCATGTACTCCATGTGTTCTCTGTATTTCTGTAAATTCCTGTATTTGTAATTGTATTGTAATGTTTGTTTATCTTTTTTGTTTATCTGTTCTTGAAAAAAATTATAGTTGATATTGAAGCTTTAAAGCACGCTCCCAATTGGGGTTTAAGACACCGTAGAGATAGTTTGAGTGGATTAAGCACCCACAGTCAACCAATGATATTTGGCGGTGGATTTGGTACACAAAGTCCAGCGCCAACTTATCACTCAGGTATGTTTAAATTATTTACAATTACTTACAATTGTATATATGTTGTATTTTAATTATTATATACCATACATATGTTTTTTAAATTTATTTGTTATATTTATTATGTTCTATACTTTTAGGTGCTTATACACCCGGCATGATGACTGATGTTGTGCGTGAGGTTAAGGAGGCTGCACGTGTGCGTGAAGATGCGTTATTAAATAGGTGAGTTTACAATAAAATTATTAATTTAGAATATAAATTTAATTAGTATTTTATATGGATTTTTGTAGAGTAAAAGCTTTAGTCGAAGAACGTCAGTGGTCATTGAACGAGTCTAATTTACGTGTTATGCGTGACATTGAAGATTTGAAGGTATAGTTTATAGTTGTGTTCATTTATTTTCCTTTCATTAATTTTTTTTAATTAATAATAGTCACAAGTCCAACATTTACGTGCGGAGCGTAAAGAATCTAATAAACGTATAAATCATCTTGAAACTGAAAATAAATATATGCGTCAAATGCTTGGTACAATATTTAATAATCGCAATGCGCCTGATATCATATATGAAAATGAAACTTTACGTATGCGTAAATCATATGCACAAGCGCATAATCGTCGCACACAACCATTACATTTAAATTATGGCACTATACATCATCAGCCAGCATCATCACTATCCGTTGAAGAACAAGATGAACCATTGCATATACATGAAACTCCATCAACCACTTCCACAACAGATATTGCTTCTGTTAACACACAACGTCCACAAGATATGCGCAATTCATTTTCAAGCACTGATAGTGGCGGTGGTGGTGGTGTTGGTAGTGCTGGAACAAGTCTACATAACGGTAGTGTTGGTACCAACAAAGGACAAGCTTTATCGCCACCAAATTTCGCTTTAGTTACTACACCAGTTGAAGATACAAAACGAAAAAAAGATAAATCAAAATCAACCAAATCGAATAATAAAGAGACGTCATCTGCACAAATGCATAGTAATTCCACCACATCAGCGGCTGCAACTCAAGAATTACAAAGAGAATTAAATGTGGCCGTAGCTGCACGCAAAGAAGCCGATGATCGCATTATTGCGTGGGTTTAATATATATATTTTTATTATATATATTTTACATATATATTTTTATTTTGCTAATTATTTGAATTAAATAATTGCTTGCCAGTTATAATTTTAAATTGATAACATTTTTATTGGTTTTTAAAAATGACCAAATATGTTCTTGTTATAATGCAATGTAAAACAGTCACGTTTATTGTATATAGTTTGCATGCATTTCAATTAATATTTTAAAATAGTTTATAACACTTATTTTTATAACAGTTATTTTTTTATAACACTTTTCCAGTGATGTAAATATTTTTCACAAATTGTTTATAAGAAAACGTATTTATTTATTTTAAAAGTTGGTAATTGCAATTTTTATAACTGCACAAATTTTATATATCATAGGCTTATTTAATTATTTTAATACAACATAATTAAGTTATAATTATTTTATATATTAAATATTTTTTGTTGCATGTGCAAAAGTAGTTATGAGTGTAAGAGACTATAACTAATGTTGTAACTCCGCTATTTAAGCAATATATTATTGTCAATATTTTATTGTCAATATTTTGTTGTCAATATTTTATTGTTTAAATTATAAGTTAATGATATGATACCGTGGAACGTATGTACTGTAACTACAGCACACAGAATCCAATTGCAAATCCTACTTATGTCTAATCTAAGATTGTATTTTCAAAAATCATTAAAAAATACTTGACGGTTCTGACTAAGTAACACCATGTTTTCACATGGGCGCTAATAAAAATTTAAGGCGCTAATAAAAATAATTTACCATACAAATAGTTTTCATATAAATAACCTCATTGTATATAAATCAACTGATTTAAGGCGAAAAAGATCCTTTTAAAATAAAATAAAAATAAAACTTTTAAAAATAAATTTCCCACAAGAAAAATTACAAAAATGTAAAATATTTATCATATTTTTTATATATATAATGTAAACAAAGAAGATATTTCACATGCATAAATCAGCTTATGTCAATGGAAACGACTAAATCCTTACTTCATTAATTTCATTTCATAAGTAGTTTTAGTCGCAGTGAAAACATGATGTAGTGCTTTAACCACTTCTTTCACAAAACTTTCTACTATAAAATCTCTGTAGATATCACGTTATCTGGTATCGCTCAATAGTAATAAATCTATATAAATCTAATCAATTTAATTGTCTTAAATTAGTCCATAAAACTAAACTTAGTTCAAATCATAAAATTTGTATAAATACCCTCTTGGCTCTCTTAGGCGGATACCGACGAAATCGATTGTTGTTGTAACCCTAAGAGACCTGCTAGTATTGTTGAGAATAAAAACTGTCACTTGGTCGTTTGTGTAGAGGACTGGCTCCAGGGTTTAAACTCAACATAAGTAATTTTATTCGTTTAAGAAGATACTCCGTATTTTGTTTGAAAAATGAAAACTGCGAACAAACAATAATAAAAAGAAATGTTCATTTTCTGAAATAAACGGAATTTTACCACAATGAACTTCTAATTTAACATATTGAACTGTTTTACATTTATTGAAATCTTTCCATAAAATGAACTAAAATATAGAACTTGTATATACCATGTTGGGGCTTCGATTTATGCAAGTGGCAAAGTTTCTCGATCCAGATCGGTTTCAATTAAATCCCACCACTCATATATTCTTTATCCCACACAACCTCTTTTCTTCTCATTCATTCCTACCTAATCCATATCCTAACTCAAGTATTCCTATGTTGTAATTCCTTTTATAATATTCCCATCTCAGTAATATATCCCATTCCTATAGACTCCTATATAATTCTTATTTCCTGCAATATAGCTCTTCTCGTGTTACAACAACAACAACAACATTAAAAAAATGCATAACTTAAAGTTCTTTCCGAAATCATATCACAGATATAACTTTAGCACTCATAAAAATATAAATAAATGCAAATGCTTTAATATTTATTAGTAACAAAAAAATATATAAGAACAAACGTAAGAACAATTTAAATTTAGTAAAAAGTATTTTTATAAACAATATTTTTAGTTTTTAAATTTAATATAATATAATCCACAACATATTCAACTTAATATTTTCCTGTTGATGTCACAAATATAAACAATATAATATATATTATTTAGCTTACCATACAATCTTATACTAAACTTAATATAAATAATGCTTATATTACATATTTATGCTATAAATTATTAAATTCATTTTAAAATGTAATGGATTTTATGACCTTAGTGGAATGGAATTCGATGTTACAAATATAGACCATTGAATTTTGTTGTTTAAGTTACATATAATATTGTTCTAAATTTATTTTAGACAATATCCACACTATAATTAATTATATTGGGTGTTTTTTTTTAAATTAGAAATAATCAGCACTTATATATATCATTATGTGTTATTTGAATTCCATTCTTTAAATCATAATTTTAACACAACAAGCATATTAAATATTTAGCAATATCACACTATTTTTTTTATGTTCTATTTTATTGCATGTTTATTAATATATTAATATTATAGATTTCGTACTATTTCTATTTTAAATATATGTTTGCACATTTCATTGTTTGATTCTATTCAGAAAACAAAAAAAAAACTAACAAAAAATCCTTATATGTAATTTTTGTCTTAATCTCATTTTAGACTTGAAAAATTGGTTAAAAATATGCGTGTTAATTCCATTCACAACATAGATGGTTCCTCGAATATAGCAAATGGTGATGGTAGCAAAATGGGTGTTGGTCTTAACACTTCAAATGCTGGAAGTACAGTGTCACAGACAATGAAGTGGCAACATACGTCACCACTTAACACAAACGCATTTACGCAAATTAATACCAAACATTCTTCACAAGCATTCGCCAATCCAACGCAGTCTCCAACTAAAGTGGCTGTTGCGGGACCCATAACCGATTTATAGTGCTAGCACAGAATCTCAAAGCGCAGCTTACGCATAACTCATTTTTAATTAAATACGAACAAAAATTAATTTTATTTAAAAATTTATTTAAAAATTACTCGAAATTTGTTAAGCCATTCTGCAGTACTAAACTAAAATTTATTGTTATTATTAATATTAGTTATACATTGATGTTTGTGTGTATTTTGTTAATATTTATAAACTTTTAACTTTATTAGATATTAATTTCTATTATAATTTTTCCATTTTAATCATGATAATGCTGAATTCACACAAGATTTCAGTTTGTAATTTTAGCTGTCAATTGTTTTTGCTTCCAATACAAAATGAAAATTTTTGACAGTTTAAATTACAAATAAAACTCTTGTGTGAATCCAGTATAATATTAATGATAGTAAATATTTTTTTATTTTTATTTAATTTATAAAGTTATTGTTTTTTTTGTTTTATTTTTTTTACTGTTTAATTAATTCTATATAAATAATTGTAATTTATGTCCTTGTATGTTTTATGTAGCGTAGTAAAGAAGAAAATTGTACAGTTCTTTGTGCATATTAACAATTTTGTATAAAAATTGATGTACCTAAAATGCAAACGAAATACTATATTTGTACAACTACTTAAATATTTTATAGAAGTACATATAACAAAAAATATATATCCATTATATATAGTAATAGAAAGAGAAAATAATTGTATTATCTAAATCGAATAAGTCTCGAATTCGAACAATAGCATTTTTAAAAATCTGATATTGTTTATATTACTAAAATTTTATATAAAAGTTATATATACGTTTTTATTATTAAGTGCCATTTTAAATAAATTGCATTCAACATTAACAAACATACAGTAGAAACATGGTTATTCATTGATATGTTTTAGAAGCTATAATAATATTCTAAACTTTACTATCTAATAGGTTCTATTCATCTATCCAAAATATGCATCTCCATATATAGCGAAAATACTCATTACTTACTTACTGCTATCTTTCTCTCCTAGGTGGGGCATAGGGCCTCTTAGGAAAATGAGTGTAAACACTCATTACTAACATTAAAAAACTATCCATAAAAAAGCAGCTTCACTGCTTGTAAACCAAAAACCATTCTGTGGCTGGAAAGGAGGTTATTTCTTCTCACCTATTTAGAAAGAAGAGAAGAAACAAGGAAAAATATACTGAGATAATCTCTCAGGCATATCACAGTCCAAATCGCTTATATGGACTTTCAACTAACTAAAAATAATTTGAAAATTATTATGCGAATTCTGACAGGACACTGTAGCTTGAATTATCATTTTATATAATTGCAAACTTACTCTAATGAAACTTGTAAATTCTGTACGGAAGAAAGTTAGAACTCAACACACATACTATGAATTTATCTGGTACTGATGCGTAAACGAAAGATGTCCTAGGCTGGTATTGCATATCCGATAAAAAATAAAACTTTGTAATCTAGGTTACATACTAAAACTTATAAAGGAAGTTGTGAACTTGAAGAAATACCCTGAATACATGAAAGGGACACAATAGATCCCTAGGTTGCATTTCAACATAATAATGAAATTAATATTAAAAAAATCACATAAACCTTTATTGACATTTGCATGCTGCGTAATGCTCTGAAAGGATGATAATCTGCTAAATTCGTTTAGCATACCCAATTCCAATAACATAGATTATTTCTTCGCCTTTAGAGGTGATATTTTTCTCTTAGAAAATTTAAACTGTTTCCAATATGTTAATTGGATCACATCTTCATATAATCAGTCAGACCATGCTAGCCAATAATCAATGATAAAACTATCTAACAATTTTATGGATGTATAGATTAGGATTTTGCTTCACGAGTACATTTTGAAAGCATTACTTAGGCTCTCAATTGCTTAGAGAAAATAAAAAATTAGCTAATAAGTCCATAGGATGACTGGTGAATTTCAAGGAAGAAATTGCGAAACAGCAGCCACATTTGAAGAAAATCTTCCAAACACTATGACTAAATTGCATAAATTACACATTGAATTTAGTCATTATGCATCGATTTCGATATATTTGGTTTCCTCTTGACTCATTCCTCAAGAGGCGTATCGAAATGCTAGAGAAGTGCTGAAATAGAGTCGAAGTTTGGCAAAAAGTTGTGATTTTATTGGTTATTATACGGACTTAACTGCCGATATATTATTATTGGTTGTAGTGCATATAAGACTTTTAAATCCAGAAAATATAACGGCGTTTGATATTATTGTAGAATTTATTTCACATTTTTAATCAGATCTAGTAGGATATCTGACTTGAACAACAACTCCTACAAGTTATATTAAGCCGACTAGAAGCCTTTTAATGGCACAATATATGTTTAATGAATTCGTGCTTCCCCTCACACTGACTGCTTGGTATTGGGTGGGTAGTTTGAAAAATGTATGAATACAATATATGGAAAATAAGAACCCTTAATTGATCTATGGTACAGAATGATGTGCGTTAGAAAATACTAGTTATTCGCATTCATTAACAATATTGCTGTTTGTTATTTCTTCAAATACAGATCTGTAGGAAACAAGAAAAAATATGAATTAACAATAGCACATAAACTGAATAAATACATTAAGTTGTTAAATCAATTCCTCTTACAATTATTTTAGTAATACCACATAGAATATAAATCGTGATCCTTTTATAATAGAATATGATAGTTTAATTTAAGTTTTTTTTATTTAGTGAAATTTGATTTATAATTTAAATAATGAAACTTACAATGCCTAACTATAATTAAAATTATGTGAAAAAATCTAAACTTTAAACTACAAAACAAAGTCTGTCATTAGAGTTAACAACAAAATAAAACAAATTTCAGCAAGTAGTTTTTGCTGGTGGTTTTTGTATGGGAAGGAAAAGCTTAAATTCAGGTGGCAATTCATCTTCTGAATAAAGCCGGTCCGAAAAGTAGATACGACGTATACGACAATTAGCATGTATCTGCACACGAAGTGTCTCAACATAATTAGTGCCATATGCTCTTCGCGTGAAGTCAGATAAATTAAATTGTATTTGATTCCAACCATCGTCCAAACGCATCGGCATTGTGCAAATGAATGGCTTAACACGTGTTGTTGACTGATAATTACTGGCACGAAAACGTCGGCGTACGTTTTTGTCATCGAGCACCTTAATAAAAAATTGTTCATCGTATAAATAACAATGAATACTATAAATAATGCCGTGAATATCATACCTGAACTTCAAATGTGAAATATTTTTTTAAATTCTTAATAATCATCACAAGAAAAGGCAGTTTAATACCAAGTGTTTTCTTAGGATCTGGCGGACAAGTTATAAATGTTGTACTAACATTTGTGCCAACTATTTCCAGTACTAAACTTTGTATGTCGTTGTCTGTGATGCGTTTTATGTGACCATTCCGAACCTTCTTATCCCAAATTTGCAGCGGTTTACTACCAATGCTGTACAGGATTGATAGGAAACCCGACTGGAATGTGTTTTTAAACATTTTGTTCTTTGTTTAAATTAAATCAACACAACACATTAAATATATTTGTTTTAAATTTTTAACAATCTTCAGCGAAACTATCAACAGCCGTTATTTTAAGGTTATGGTATTGTTTATGTCGATATTAGTTGCTGTTTAACAGTGTTGTCATGAGCGATTAAAATAAAAACAAAAAAGTAGTTCAGACGTTTATACAGAAAAATGTTGCTATGGTTATTGTTTTTATTTAAAAAAACAAAACATTTGACTTATTTTAATGAAAAATTATATTAAAAATTTATTCTTTCACACTTCTATAGAAAAATATACATTTTCTTCATTATTTAACATGCTAAAATTCTGCCAAAGAAAGTGTTAAATTGTTAATGTATCGAATAAAAATATTGTGGGTGCACATTTCATGAATTAAGGAGAATTTTCAGAAACGTAGAATCACCGCCAAAAATTACATACACGTATGAATAAATCAGCACAAGTTGGTTTGTTATTTGAATTTAACAATTCAATGCTAAAACAAACATTGGTGGCAAATATTGACATTTCATACAAATTATTTCAATGTAATTATTTGTCACAGATTAACATTTTAGCAATATGTTATGCTAAATAGAAGTTGTGAAGAAGCATATTGAAGAGCATATTATTTTTATTGTTATTGCACTTCGACAATAAAAGCAATATTTAAGTAAATAATGATCTGATTAAGAATAACAATGCAGTCAACTAACAACTGAACTGTTGGTTCAATATGGAATATGTTATATGGGCCGTGTGCGAGTTCGAGTAAATTGATGGTAAATTAAGGGAAATAGTAAATTATTTCAATATGACAGCAAATGTTGGTATTTATCAGATTTTCGAGTAGGGTAAATTAGATAAAAACAGGGTAAATCACAAAGTGATTTATTTTCTTACACTCAAATTATAATATTAGATAATTAAAAAAAACCAAATTTATAAAATAAATAATTGTTTTAATATTTGTCATAAAAGTTCTAATATGATTCCTAACGGAATCAAGATTACGATTATTTAGATTTATTTTTGTGAAATGCTTCTTTTCAATGTTTTCAGTCAATATTTAGTATGCATTTTTATATTTCATGATTAGTTCATTTATTTATGCAATAACTTTTCGGCGAATATTTTTCAGTTAAGTTTGTAGTGTGAACATGATATAATCGTGTAAAGAAATATGTAGAAGTATTATATATAGTATTAAAACAGCACATACAATTAATTTTATGTCGTATATTGACAATATTTCTGCAATCAAAAAGAATAATGTAACAGTCGAATATTTCGAATTTTGTTTCTACAAATCATTTTCCGTCATCAACCAAAAGACAAATAAATTATATGATTTCTTAGCCTAGTGTGGGGTAGAGATAAGCTCCCCAGCCATTATAGAGTAAAAGTGCGTAATAGCACTAACTCAAGAAATAGAATCAAGAAGCAAATCAATTTCAGACAGATTAACAACTTGTGCTGCATTTTAAATTAAATAAAAAACAAAATATTTGTTTTTAATTTTGCTATTTTGTTAAACTACTAAATTGCAACTTTAATAAAAAGTACCAAAGTACACGGCAACCCTTGCATGTTAATTTGTCGAATACGCCGCGGAGTACTGAATGGTTTGACAAGGTTTCATATTCCACTGATTAACGTTAAAATATTTGTTGTTAACTGCGGCGATGAATATAGATATAAACAAATTAAGAGCGAAACATGCTGCAGGTATGTAAGGAGTTACAATTTTAATTTATTATTTATACGTATAAAATTTCTTATATTTTAGAATCAAAGGAAGCAGCCCCGCTACTAGCAGCTGAGAAGGTTAAATAATATTTAATTAGCAATAAACAAATATATGTATATTTTGTTTCTTTTTCACGTTAGGATGAAAAAATGATGCAAACCTTATGTAGGAACTCTCAAATAGGATTCAAGGAACTACCAATATTTATTGTTGTTGAGACTCGTTGTATAACTATGGAACAAGCAGTTCAAGCAGGCATTATAGTAACGTCCACACAGATACTCGGTGTAGAACAAACCAATGAAGACAGTAATGTGCCTATGGATGCAAGTGTCGTTAATGTGCCCTTAGTAGTGGCAGTACGTTCTGATACTGTCGATGCAGGGGTAAATGCAATTCCTCTAATGAATGACGCTGCAGTTCTAACTGATGGTCCAAATCCCACGCGGAATCGTAACATACAAGTTTGTCTTGATAATAAATCATTTAAAACCGTTGCAATACAATGCGACATTGATTTCGAAGAAGAATTTGATGCAATGAATAGCGCTCCGTCAGAAACAGAAAATGCGCAATCAAAACAGTTGGAATTTGTCACATTTGCCAAAGAGAAAACAATATGTCATAAAAATGGTAAACATGAGTGCTTAGTTTGTGGTGAAGTGAAAATTAATTTCAATCTAATGTGCAAACATATGAGTTTGCATTATGGACCAAAGATGCTGTGTGCTACTTGTGGCCATCAATTTGAACATGTTTATTTATACGATAAGCATCCATGTCTCAACGAAAACGCAGAGAAGAAATCTGTTGCTAAAAAACTTAAACACAGATTTAAATGCCCACACTTTCGTTGCGGCGTCACAACAATATCGCTATTGGAACTTTATGATCATATCAATGAACACACAGGAAAACGTTCTTACATTTGTGACGGCTGCAATCGTCGTTATCACACAATGGGTGAATTGCGACGACATTTATCAATGCGTTTGAAATGTTTAGAGAACGGTAAAGTTCGTGACATACATGGTATATCGAATTTGGTGCGTGAGAAAAATTATCGCATACGTGTGTTTCCAGTCTACACTGCCAGAAATAAACGTGTACTCATCAAAGTCTTTCTTTCCCGACTACCGCAATCAAACTTTTGCCAACTCTGTTTGAAGCATTGCACCAACTCCTATATGTATTCGAAACATTTACAAAGATGCAAAAAAGCTTATAAGTATCGCTTGCAGAGAAAACTCAATGCAACGTCAGCAGGCACAAATAAAAGGACAACGAAGTCAAAGTAATTATTCCGAAATGTTTAGAACATTAGTGATTTATCCTTATTTATAATTTTAAGAACAATAAAAAACAAAATTTAATAACATTAATTTATATTTCGCTTAACAATTTAAAATACACTTCAATTCACTTCACTGCACACCATGTGCTTTACTTAGGCCTTCAAACAATTGCTTTTTCTCCTCGTTGCACTCTTTGAGCGTTTGTAGCGCCAATTCCAGTTGAACCTTTTTCTGTGCATGTTCTCGTATATATTGGTCAATGAATTTAATACAAATTTCATCCACCTGGAAATCTTCAGATCTCTTACCAATCGCTGTAGTTATTTCTTCTTGTATATTACTCTGATCTGTCTTTAAAGCCTTTCGCAGTTCCTCTAAAGCTGGATCACGTTTCGGTTTGCAATTCTCGATTTGTTTTAATGTTTCTCTATAATCAATGGATATGTTATGCATTTTATACAATAGCGCGATGAGTTCCACGCCATTATATAAATAATCGCGTTGTATCATATCATAGAGTAAATCATCAATGGATTTGTGCCACGCTAGGAAAAAGGCCATAGGGCCAAAATGCCTTGTCGAACGCAGTGCATCGAAATCTT